CTTTTCACAAAGCAAGCACACCTGTGTGGCTCCCACCCGCATCAAGGTATAGTGCATTATCAGCACCCCAGCGCCCTCCCTGGTGCCCCCGTCCTAGTCATTACCACGCTCCCCTAAAGGTAATCTCTACTCTGACGTCTGTCTCTGAACTTTACATAATGGAATCTTTCGGTATATGTTATGTCTGGCATCTTGTGCTCACCATTATGTCTGTGAGAGTCATCTATGTTATTTTGTGTGATTGTAGCTCATTCGTGCTCACTGTTGTGCAATATTTCATTGTGTAATTTTATCACAGTTTATCCATTCTGCTATCGATGGACATTTGAGTTTCTGATTTGGAGGCTACTAGGATTCGTGCTGCTCTTACCATCTTGTACATGTCTTTATCTTTCATTTTAGCCATTGTGGTAAGTGTATAGTACTCTCATGTTTTTCCATTTCCCTGATTATAATATTTAATGGCCAAATGGATGTCCTTTTTTGTGAAACATCTGTCCAAGATTTCGCCCATTTTTCTGTGGGATTCTCTCTCTTTTTTTTCAGTAGGTTGGTAGCCGTTCTTCATTTTAGATTTGAGTGTTTTGTCAAATATGTCTATTGCAAATATCTTTGCCCATTCTGTGGCTTGCCTTTTCATTTTCTTAATGTTGCCTTTTGGTGAATAGAAGTACTCAGGTTTAACGCAGTCTTTTTTATCAGTTGTTCCCTGTCTGCTTAGCGCTTTCCTTTGCTATTTAAGAACTATTTGCCCACCCCAGGGTCATGAAGATGGTTTCCTGTCTTGTCTTATAAAAGCTTTATTGGTTTACCTTTCACATTTAGATCTGCAGTTCATCTGAAATTAATTTTTTTGTAAGGTATGAGGTAGGGATCGAGATTTCTTTTTATCCACGTGGTAGCCCATTGGCCCAGCACCATTTGTTGAAAAGACTTTCTTTCCCAGCCGCATTGCATTTTCATCTTTGTCATAATCCACTGACCTGAACATGTGGGAGTCTGTTCTTAGATATTCTGTTGTATTCCATTGGCTTAGTTGTCTACCTTTGTAGAAAATACTCTACTTTTTTCAAAGCGAAAGCTTTCAGTAATTTGTCGTGTAGAATGATTTTTCTGAGGCTCTGTGTAGATAATCACTGTCAGATTAAAGAAGTTTCTTGCTCTTTCTAGTTTGCTAAGACTTTTTATTATGCATGGATATTGAGTTTTCTCAAACATTTTTACTGTCTACTTAACTCTTAAATTGATTACAGAGTTGTTCTCTTTTATTCTCTTAGTGTGCTAGATTGTACATTGCTTAACTTCTGAATGTTAAACCACGCTTGGATTGCTGGAATAAAACAGACTTCATCGCGATGTATTTTATATGTGTTTTTATATATGTTGCTGGTTTTGATTTCTTGATTTTGTGTTTGGGTTAATTTTCATTTATGTTCATGAGAGAGGTTAGTCTTTAATTTCCTTTTTTTTGTAATGTCGGTTTTTTTATTACTTCAAGGTTTACCAGCCTTCCTAACGTAAATTAGAAAGTATTCCTTTTTCACTTCCTGCGGAAGGTTTTGTAAGGTGGGTATCATACCTTCCATAAGTCATTGGGAGAATTCCCAAGAGAATTCACCAGCCCAGCCTATAATTTTCTTTGTGAGAAGCAGCCTTTCACAACCAAGGCTATGCAAGAAGTAAACATTTACCAAAAAAAAATATTTTCGATGACTATTTGCTTATTTCTCCCAAGGATGGCACATAACTCACACCATTCTAGATGTCACGTTTTGTTTTGCTTTAACATAATGGATGCTAGAGGGCACAAGGGCTTAACTCTAATGGAATCCCAGTTGAAAAGGGCTGGTGGACCATTTTTTATTATAGATTCCATTTCTTTATTAGATACAGAACTATTCAAGGGGCGCCTGGGTGGCTCAGTCGGTTAAGCGTCCAACTTCAGCTCAGGTCATGATCTCATGGTTCATGAATTTGAGCCCCGCGTCGGGCTCTGTGCTGACAATTTGGAGTCTGTTTGGGATTCTCTCTCTCTCTCCCTCTCTCTCTGCCCCTCCCTGACTCATGCTTTCTTTCTTTCTCAAAGTAAATAAATAAACTTAAAAAAAAAAGATACAGGACTATTGCAGCTTTCTATACTTGTATTCATTTCAGTAAGTGTTATTTTCTACAGGATTTGTCTATTTTACCTAAATTATCAAAATTTTAGCAAAGTTATCCAAGGTACCCTCTTACTTTTCATATATACAAGGACTTTGCTATGTTTCTGTTTTATTTCTCACATTGGCAAATTTGTACCATTTCTGCTTTTTTTCTCCCTCTTGCTAGGGACTTGTCAAATGTTTTATTTTATTCAAAGAAACATCTTTTGGCCTTGTTGATTCTTTTTCTCTATTTATACATGTGTTTTCTATTTTATTAGTCCTGCTCTTTTCTTTATTATGTCCTTGCTTTTGCCTTCATTAGGCTTAATTTGCTGCACTTTTTCTTTTTTTAACTTCTTGAGATAGGTAATTGTTCACCCATCTTCTTTTCCAATTTATGCATTTAGGGCTTAAAAATTCTTTTTGAGCACAGCTTTGTCTGCTTTTCACAAGTTTGATAATATGATATTATCAAAATATCATTGAATTTAAAATAGTTTTTAATTTTCATTGTAATTTCTTTTTTGAGCTATGAGGGTTTTTTTAGAAGTATATTTACTTAATTCCTAAACAGTGGGGTTTTCTAGTTATCTTTTTATTATTGATTTCTTCTAGCTGTATTTCACTGTTTTCAGAGAACAGAGAGCATACTATTCAATCATACAGAATATTGAAATTTCCTTTATGGCTTAGTATATGGTCAGTTTGGGTAAAAGTTCTGTGTGTTCTTAAGAGAACATATTCTACAGCCCAAGTTTGTCAGTTTTTGTCTTTCAAATCTTCTTCAGATTTTTCAATTTGCTTATTTACCAGTTACTGAGAGAGATACTAAAATCCTCCAACTTATGATTGTAGATGTCTGTTTCTCCTTTTAGGTTGTTAGTCTTTGCTTTCTGACTTCTGTGTTTATGTTCACAGATGAATATAAATTTAGCGTTGTGTTGTATCTTTCTGTTCAGCTGGCCCTTTCATTGTTATAAAATAGCCCTCTTTATCTGTACTAATACCCCTTGTTTTAAAATCTGTTTCGTCTGGTATTGATAAAGCTGTGTCCACCCTTTTTCGGTTAGTGTTTTCACGGTTTATCTTTTTCCATCCTTTACTTTCAATCTTTCTGAATTCTTAGATTTAAAGTGTTTCACTTGCAAGCAGTATATAGTTGCTTTTGATTTATTATCCAGTCTTAGAATCCTTACCTTTTAATTGAAATATTTAGTTCGTTTACATGTAATGCTATTAGTGATATATTTGGGTTTGAACATACTATCTTACTCTTTTTTTTTTTTTTTAAGGAAAGGAAAATTTCATTTGCCCTTCTATTAGATCATTCGTAATACAGTCTTTTATTTTTTGCTGTATCCCTAGTGATTACAGCATGCATCCTTGCCTTCTGAAGAGAAGCTACCTTGAATTAATGCTTTTACTTTTTCCCACACAGTACAAGAATTTTAAAAGACTTGAACTCCATTTATGCCCTTTCCTCCTTCTGCGAAATTATTGGTCATGAGTTTTAGTTCTGTATATTTTAACGTATATCCCACAAGATACTATAGTTCTGTTGCCAGTCAATATTCATTTAGATTTCCCCACATCTTTACCCTTCCTGGTGTATTTCATTTCTTTCTGCATTAGTGCACTCCCATTTGGGTCATTTTCCTTCTGCTTGAAGAACTCCCTTTAGGATTTCTTTTAGTGCACATCTATCAGTGTCTTTATTTCCACTTGAAAAGGAATTTTTTTTTTTCCCTGCATATTCGGAATTCTAGGTGGGCAGTTAATTCTCTGAACACATTACAGATACCATTTTGTTGTCATCTGGCTTCCACTGATTCTGTTGAGCTGCTGGAGAACAGTCGATCCTTAAAAAGGAATACATCTTTTTTTTTCACTGCTTATAAGATTTTCTCTCTTCCTTTGCTTTTCAGCAGTTCCTCTCTGATGTGCTAATGTGGATTTGTGTTTACACTAGTGAGATTCTCCACCATTTCGTCAGTTTTCTTGAACACATTAACTGTAAAAACTTAAGTTCCTTCTCTAAATAATGGCAGTGTATGGACCACCTGTAGGTTGCCTCTTTTATCTTATCCGTTGTTGTTCTTGGTTTCCAGTGGATGCTGGATATTATGTATGAAGAATTGTGGAGGCTCTGGCTGATATTTTCCTCCAGAGAGGATTTAGTATTCTTCCGGAAGGCAGATTACAACATGGGCAGATCACCTGAGTCACTTGGAGGACCTGAAGTTCAATTTTTCTCTCCCTAGGACCGTGAAGAAACTGAAGTACCTGCCTACTGTTTTAGCCTCCCTGCAGCTGGGCTTTGCTTAGTTTCCCACTTCTTGCTGTCGGATCTGCAGCTGAGGAGTGGGAAATACCGCAGCAAGAACATCGTGTGGAATACCGGACTCCCCTTTCCGTTCGTTTCCCTGGGCCCCAGTGCGCTGGCTGCCTTGGGGGCCTTCTCAGTTTTCATCTTCACGTTCTACCGATAGTGCCGCTGTTCTGCACAGCCACAATTTTAGCCTGTGTGCCTCAACCGCTAGAACTGATACACGTCCCCGAGGGGAAAGGGTGGCAGTGACGTCGTTTCACCTGCCTGCGTTTCTCCTCTCCCCGGGGTCTCGGCCTCCAGTCCCGATTGCCTGTGTCGCTCTCGGTTGCTTTAAAAACGCCGGAGGTTGGTTTGTTGCCTTTTGTTTTATTTCCATCAGCTTTCGTATTTGTTCTCGGCAGGAGAATCGGGTCTGGTGCCACCTTCTTTTCCACAACCGGAAGCTTCAGTCCCCATCTGATGAGTTTTTGAATCATTTCTCACAACATGTGATGTTAACTGCCGTCCGTACACCTTCTGTTCTCCAGGATGCCGTGTCAGCCCTCCTCGCAAGAACATCAGCTGAGCTGTTGGCTGTGGAACAAGAATTAGCACAGGAGGAGGAGGAAGAAGAAGAACCAGGGCAGGAAGAAGAGGAAAGGGGTCCAGATGGAGACTGGTAAAAACCCTGGCTTCCTTTTGCTATTCGGGAATGCAAAGAGGGTGTGTGTATCACAGGGAAACCTTTATGGGTTCAGATATTACCCTGGAATTATGGAAAGCGGTGCCGTGTTAGGCTGCTACCACTGAAGGGAGGACCCTCTTTGGTCATTAGAGAGTTGAAGAAGGTAACAGCAAAATTGTGGACCGCGCACGTCAGAGTTAACACAGGAAGGACTTTCTTTGTTCCTGCCTCCGTACGTTCTGACACTCTTTCCTGGGCTTTTTAAAATTCTTGGTCTCAGCTACCTGTTTTGAGGGGCGCCCGGGTGGCTTAGTCAGTTGAGCGTCTGACTCTTGATCTTGGCTCAGGTCATGATCCCAAGGTCCTTGGATTGAGCCCCGTGTCGGCCTCAGCACTAAGCGTGGAGCCTGCTTGGGATTCCCTCTCTCTCCCTCTGCCCCACTCTCCTGCTCTCTCTCGCTCTAAAATCATCATCATCATCATCTACCTGTTTTGAAAGGTGTGGTAGTTTATTGTCAATTCGTGAATAAATTTAAAAACTTACTTTCGGGGCGCCTGGGTGGCGCAGTCGGTGAAGCGCCCGGCTTCAGCCAGGTCACGATCTCGCGGTCCGTGAGTTCGAGCCCCGCGTCGGGCTCTGGGCCGACGGCTCGGAGCCTGGAACCTGTTTCCGATTCTGTGTCTCCCTCTCTCTCTGCCCCTCCCCCGTTCATGCTCTGTCTCTGTCTGTCCCATAAATAAATAAAAAAACGTTGAAAAAAAAAATTAAAAAAAAAAAACAACTTACTTTCTTTTTCTTTAAATTACCAGAAGTGCCTCTGTACCATTTAGGTTCAGGTAAAGCAAAGCACATATCTGAGTACTCATTTTCTACTTGTTCACCTCTGCCTTCTTTTTCTGTTTCCACCTAATTATCCACACCCCGTCCTTTGAAGAAAGAAAAGAGTTATTTATAGATGTTGTCCAGAATCACATATGTACAAAGAACTGCCTTTCCTGGTTTGCATTGTTTTCTCTAAAAACAAATTTTAATGAATGCATCCGCTTTTAAAGTATAGATGTAAAATTATTTGGATTAATTTTAATGTATATGTAGTTGCTTACACTGTTGTGTTTGATTGAACTCCTGTTAACACATATGCACACACATAGATAGCATGCGATTGTGTGTGTGTGCATGTGTGTATAAACCTTGTTACGGGGCGCCTGGGTGGCGCAGTCGGTTAAGCGTCCGACTTCAGCCGGGTCACGATCTCGCGGTCCGGGAGTTCGAGCCCCGCGTCGGGCTCTGGGCTGATGGCTCGGAGCCTGGAGCCTGTTTCCGATTCTGTGTCTCCCTCTCTCTCTGCCCCTCCCCCGTTCATGCTCTGTCTCTCTCTGTCCCAAAAATAAATAAAAAAAAAAAAAAAAATAAAAAAAAAAAAACAACTTACTTTCTTTTTCTTTAAATTACCAGAAGTGCCTCTGTACCATTTAGGTTCAGGTAAAGCAAAGCACA